GTTCGCCGGGCCCCCCTGCCATAGGATGGATGCCAGTGGCCAACTGTCCCATGCCACTGGCTCCAACGGAGAAAAACAAGAGGCAGGATGAGCTGATCGTTCTCAACGTGAGTGGCAGGCGCTTCCAGACCTGGAGGACTACACTGGAGAGATACCCGGACACTCTCCTGGGCAGCACTGAGAAAGAGTTCTTCTTCAATGAAGACACTAAGGAGTACTTCTTTGACCGGGACCCTGAGGTCTTTAGGTGCATCTTAAATTTTTATAGAACTGGCAAGCTGCACTATCCCAGGTACGAGTGCATCTCTGCTTATGACGAAGAGCTTGCCTTCTACGGGATCCTCCCTGAAATCATCGGGGACTGCTGCTACGAAGAGTACAAAGACAGAAAGCGGGAAAACGCCGAGCGGCTGATGGATGACAATGACTCGGAAAACAATCAAGAAGGGTCCATGCCATCCCTGAGCTTCCGGCAGACCATGTGGCGAGCCTTCGAGAACCCCCACACCAGCACCTTAGCCTTAGTCTTTTACTACGTCACCGGTTTCTTTATTGCTGTCTCTGTGATCACTAATGTCGTGGAAACTGTCCCTTGTGGCACGGTGCCTGGAAACAAGGAGCTTCCATGTGGGGAAAGATACGCTGTGGCTTTCTTTTGCTTGGACACGGCTTGCGTGATGATTTTCACGGTTGAGTATCTGTTGAGACTCTTTGCGGCCCCAAGTCGCTACAGATTCATTAGAAGCGTGATGAGCATCATTGACGTGGTGGCCATCATGCCGTACTACATCGGCTTGGTGATGACCAACAACGAGGACGTCAGCGGAGCCTTTGTGACACTGAGGGTTTTTAGGGTTTTCAGGATTTTCAAGTTCTCTCGCCATTCCCAAGGCTTAAGAATCTTGGGCTACACTTTGAAGAGCTGTGCCTCCGAGCTTGGCTTTCTCCTCTTTTCCCTCACTATGGCAATCATCATCTTTGCGACTGTGATGTTTTATGCAGAGAAAGGATCCTCGGCAAGCAAATTCACCAGTATTCCTGCTTCCTTTTGGTACACTATTGTAACCATGACAACACTGGGGTGAGTATTACTTTTTCTTTTACTGAGCAGCAGGCAAGCGTGTGCTGGGAGCTTGACTTCAGTTACTCCTAAGCGTTTTCCTGGGTGCATGTTTGAAAAGGGGCTGGAATTGTTAAGGGCTTGGTTGTTCCTTGCCTTACAACTTTTGCAATTTATGCTTATGTGAGGTTGTATAAAACAGAAAAAGCACTTACACCCACTTGACAAATGCTTGGCACAATGGTAAATGAGTGCAGGAGGAGCAAGGCTGTGGAGTAGCAGGTCCTGTTTCACACTCCTCCTGCGGGAGGGAGAAGTTAGCGTGAGCGCAAAGGAGCTGGCAACTAGAGCTTGTGGTTTTTTCAGACGTTCATTCGAGCCATAGCTTTTACAGGAGGTTGCTGATGTATATTTTGTCTTTTTTCGCGATGTCGGTCATTGTTTCTTCACTTGACATGGCAGAAACTGTAGATTTGCTGAATTCAAATGGATATTGGGGGCCGGTGTACTGAAAATACTCAGTGATCTCTGGGACATGGTCTGTTTTTTACTTAATTGAGCGGGATATGGGCTTCTTGTCTGTGCTTAGTTGTGAGTTTCAAAAACAATGTGAGCATGCTGTAGCAGTTGCAGTAGAATTTCAAACATTCCCATGGACACGTACAAAGATAATGATATCAAAGCAAGGGGAATGTAGCCTGGAGGGCACTTTTCCCCCTTATATTTCATTTCTGTCTTACAGATGTTTCTCCTGAGATTATAGATTTGAGCTTCTGTTGCTCTGAACTAAAACCTTTGTAAGCAGAATGACCAAACCCTCACCCTGCCGGGGTTACGTAAAAGAAAGCAGGCATGGCAGGCTGCTGCTCCAGGCAGCCACAGTCCTGATCAAATGCCATCTCTTAATTCCACACATCAGAGCGATTACTAAGTTTATAGTTACTTTGCAAAGAGTTTTCCCACTGGAGAGTTCACACGGTTTAATATTCAGATGTAGACAATTCTCAGTCTTGTGATACGGTGACCACTTTTTCTCTGAACTGCTTTTGATTTTAAACACTTCTCTGTGCCTATTAGACGTGAACAGGCCCACAGTAGCACTTTTAAATTATTAAAATCATAATTCAGCTGTCAGAAAGGCGCAGAATCTGAGCATGAGACAACTGCAAGTCTGAATTTCTTCATTAAATGAAAATGTAGAACATGTTTGTCATAGTCACCAAAAGATCGCTTTTTCCTCCTTTTTCAACATCTTGGCAAAGTTTGCAAGTTCGTGTGGCAGCAGCTAAGGCCCTCACCCTGGGAAAGAAGTCAGTGCTTGCTTAGAAATCGAAGGGGGGCTTTAGATCCCAGTGCTCCCCACCCCGTGGTTCAGCTTTCCATATTCTGACGGGTCCATACTGGTCGGTTCCCACCCTCCTGACCCACCATCGTGTCTGAGCAGGTTCCAAGGGACACCTGTCCCGGGTGGCCCATTCGCACATCGTCCCCGTGGGGGAGGAAGGCACGAGAATGCCCTCGTTGTCCGGTTCCTGGGTAATAATGGTCGCACTACCCTTCTATCTACACACACTTATGCACATTCCCACGTTACATCCCTGGGACAGGACAGTGGGGTCCAGCGAGCGTTGTGTGTCCTGGGGAACGAGCCCTCTTTGGGAAACTCATGCAGAATGTGCTGTGGTGCAACTGAGTCTAT